TAAGCCCCCCTACCTGCATCCCCCACGAGAAGGGACAGGGGGTTTTACACTCTGAGGGCTCTGCTCTGGACTTCACAAGGCTGGGAGATGGACAATGGCCCACTCCACCCGAAGAAACAACCTTTTGGAAAGAGAAATTAAGATTACAGAATTACAGAAACAATTAGGAAAATAACTCTGAAATCATCAAATCCAACCTATGAGCAAAGCAGCACCATGTTAACCAGACCAGGCACTCAGTCTTTCCTTAAACACCTCCAGGAATGGTGGTGTTTAATGGAATCCACCACTTCTCTGAGCATTCATTCCTAGGAAATTCTGTAAGGAAATTCCTCCTGATGTTCAACTTAAACACAGAAAACATGTATCTGCTCTGAGCGGAGCAGGAAAGGGAGCCCAGACATGGCTGTGCAGGAGAGAAGATCACAAAATCTGTGAAAGGTTTGGGTAGGATGAGACTTTAGAGGCCATCTGGTTCTGACCTCCCCACCACGGTGGAGACAGTGGGACATAAAGAGGGAAGGGCTGAGGAGTGGCAAAGGGCCCGGGGGAACGGGAGTACGGGGTGCAGGAGGTGGGCAGTTCCATTTATTTTCTAAAGGACATCCAGATCGTGTTCTTCCCCAGCACAGAAGCTGCCCCGAAGACTTTCAGCTCCTGTGGCATTCTGGATAAATATAGCTGCTGGCCCTGTGGATAAAAATGGATAAAAATAACTGCTGCACACACTGCTGTGTGCTGTGAGCTGGCAGAGCTGCTCCCACGCTCCCTGCCCCCGCCCTGCTCCTCAGAGGTGCCAAAACTCCCTCCCAGCACAACACCCTCCAGCCTCGGGGGTGGCAGACTAGAAGGAATTTTCTGGGAAAAGCAGGGCCTGGACTCAGGATTGCCGCCAGAGGGTGCAGCCAGCTCGGCCGTAGGGACACAAACCCTGTGAGGAGCGTTTGAAGGAGCTTGGGCTGTTTAGCCTGGAGAAGACCAGGCTTAGGGGTGACCTCATTGCTCTCTACACCTTCCTGAAGGGAGGCTGCAGACAGGTGGGGTACACAGGCATACCCCCAGGGTAGCAGTGCTCCAGGTCTGTCTGTGTCTTTCCTCCTGGAACTGGCATGGTACCTGTGTGAGGAGGCTGCTGGAAGAGCCTGGCAATGGCTGGCTTTGGGAAAGCACAATTCAGTGCAAAAATTGTGAAAAACCAAACCCACCTCCATTTCTAAGGGGATGAACTCTGCAATTTAAACCTGGGGTTTAAGCTCTTCTGTAAAATTACATGGACAGGCTTGCTTGGCACCCCTTGTGTGTGAAACCATCCTGGTTGGGGCAGGGTTCTCCTTACCTGCATAACTTCCTTGTTGTTTCATCTTCCCAGAGCAAAGCTGGATCAAAGGCCCATTCCTAGCAGATGAGGATGCTGAGGATGAGTTGCCACTTCCCAAAGTCTGCTTTCCTGTCCCCTTTTCTCTGCACCTTTGTGCCCAGCTGTGTCTTTTCCAGAGGCGGTTTTGGGCTTTTCATGAAAGGAATTTTCCTGTATTTTGCAGCACATATCCACTGCTGGGAGCAATCCATTACTCCAGGAGTGCTCTGTAAATTTCCGATGTAAATCACCTGATGTTTTCCCCATCCAGGTGTACACGAGGGCTACCTTCAGGTGAACCCAGTAGGATAACAGAACATCAGGGCAGCCTTTCAAAACAAGGAGGAAAGATCTTCTGGGCCAGTGAGTTGGAGATGCACCAACAAGCAAGAAAATGTCACTGGCAAAAAGAGTGCCCAAAGCAAACAGGGAGGGTAAAAGGGGCCTTTGTGAAAACCTCACTCCCAACCCCAGGCAAGCAGGAAGGAACTCAGAATTCCCAAAGCTGAGGCCATTGGGAGCACTCAGTGTGCAGGTCAGGGCTCAGGTTTGGCAGGTGGGACGTTTGGATGATACTTGTCCAGATGGGTGCACACAGGTGCTGGAATGTTCAGCAGCCCCAGAGAGAGGCTTTTTCTCCTGCTGGTGGTTGGTGGGGCAGGGATTGCCCTGCCCTGTCCTGTCCTGGTTCAGGCTCCCTGGACTTTTCCTCACAGCTGCCCCAAGGACCAAATGCTCCCTGCAGGATGGCAGGGAAGGAGCTCTGGGAGATGGTCTTGCCCCAGTTTGCCACTCTGAGACAGGCAGCATGGAGAAATGTGCCTGTCTGTGAGTCCTCTCCTCACCAGGTGTAATCCAGCATCATCCAGAGCTGAGACATCCCTCTGAGGATGATTAATCCATGGATGGGTACAACAGTGCTGTGTGGGGAGACTTTAGGATGGCACAAGTGCCCCTGCTCTGCACTGGCCCAAATTCCTGTGAGCCTCTGCATCTTTGTCCTGCCCTCCCTGTCCATTAGGGCAGTTTGGCCTCCCTGACTTTGCAATAATGTGGAAGAGGGATAACATTCCTCCCTTTACCCTTCTCTAGGGAGCACCTAGGGCCAGGCTGAAGGGCCCATCCTCCCCTGCCAAGCCTGAGCTGCTGGAGACCCTTTCTGGCTCACAGCCATCTCTGCAAAACCCCAAAGCCTCTCCTGTATCAGCAGCCTCACACACCACATTCCCTCTGCCCACAGACGTGTCCTGCACAGCGTCCTGTGACAGCCCCAGTGGCCCCAGGGTGGCTGCAGCTCCCTGGGGCTTTGCTGCAGGGAAAGGAGGATTTTGAGTCTCCCAGGGGTGAGGGATTGCTCTGAACAAACTGCCTGGTCCATCCCTGTCCCACAGCTCCCCATTTTGCCTGGGTGAGCTGGCTGCCCCCCATGCCTCAGGGAGCTCTGCTTCAGCCAAGCTGGAATTGTGTCTGTTCAGGGCAAAGAATCACCTGGAAAAACCAATTCAGACAGTTCCTGGCTGCTTTTAAAACATCAACACCGGCTATTTTATGCCTTATACATAAAATCTACTTTTAGCAGAAATCAACAAGGTTCCACTTACATTTATTCTCTCCCTGACAAACCTCATTTTTCATTTTCAGTTTTTCAGTGCCTTGAGGAGACAAGCTGCTTCCCATGGATAGCAGCACCAAAATCTCCCTGTTTTAGTCAGGCTGGACCAGTGACGTGTATTTATAGGCAGCATCTCTGTACATGCCAGCCCATAAATTGGTCACAGATCCCAGCCAGAAAAGGGTGGGAAAACCCCAAGGGTGAAATGTAATGGTTTCTGCAATTAAATTATCTTTGTGTCCATGAGAAGAGCCATGGGGAGCTGGGTTCTCCCTCCATCCCACCCCAGGGTGGGGTTGCACAAAGCTGTTCTCCTTTTTCCTGGGCTCACAGCGTGCTCTGTGCCCAGGTGCTGCCCAGCTCCTCTTTTCCTGCCCATACAGCAGGATGAGTTTGCCAAGCTCAGGGTGCTGTGGTGCCATCCCCACCTACAAATGTGGGCTCAAACCAAGGCAGCTTTTGGGGAAATGGGGTGGCCAGGCTCATGTCAGCCCCTGGCATGGGGTGAGCAGGGAGCAAGCAAGTCCTTCCCCTTGGAGGAAACCCCAGCTGAGACAGCTCCTGCCTTTGGGTTTTGTGCCATGCAGATCTTTCCTACCCCTTCAGAGCCAAGCATGTAGCAGACATTGGGAATTTTACAGGAATGCCATTTTGTGGGAATTCATCCCTTTATTGTGATGTGATCCAGGCAGGTGCCAAGAAGAAACTTGATCAGCTTTATTCATGTCAGCTGCCTGGCTATATAAGGATTGCAGGGAGCTCCTTGGAAATTCTCTGGCTTCTCCAACACAGCCCAGAGATTGACAGTGTGGTGGCAACTCTCTTTTATGGGATAACATGGTTTGTGGTATTAATCCCTGTGGGGTGGCAGAGAAGCATAAAAGATGTCAGTGCCTGGGGTTTCTTTGGGAAAAAGGAGAAGGCTTGTGCATGCTCCTTTGCTCTTGGGGCAGCTTTTGAGAAAGAACAGCTTTCACTCCTGATGTGGGGAGTTTTCTTCCCCTTGCCCCCCAGATTTCATTACAGTGAAAGCAGAGCATGGAATAAAACTGTGTCCTGAAAAAAATGGGCCTCACAGACAGGCAGCCTTTGTCCCAAGGTGTAATTACAGGATAAATATGGGATGCAGACCAAGAAATGCAGTCTGGTCAGGCATGCAGTCTCTTAGAAAAACACAACAGAAAACAAGGTTGTCATTTAATGCTGAGAGGTGCACCGTGCTGCAGCCCTTGTGGCCCCTCACTGGCCCATGGATCTCCCCTCTGACCTGGTGTTTGGGTGTTTGGATGGTGCAGCTGGAGCCATGCACCAGCTCCCTGCAAGGACCACACCAAGCCCCACGATGGAGAGAAGGAAAGGGTTGATTTGGACTCCAGCAGAAGCCTGTGGGGCTGGGTGAGGGCATTGCTGGTGTGATGGATTTCCTTGGCTCCAGCCCCTGTGCAGAAATCCCCTCCGACAGGGCTGTGAGGAGACAGGGGGGATTAGCTCATCCTATCCCATTAAATGGAGCTGCAACAAGTGAGGAGAAGGCTATGGGAGGTCAGCACAGCCAGCACAGCAGCCACCACTCCTGCTGTTTGGGAGAAACCTCATGCCAGGCTGGAAAAAGGCCTTTTTGTGGATTTCTATGGACCTGCCTGGTGCCTTGGCTTCATGGCCCAGCAAGGCCACCTGGGTGTTAAAGTGCAGGGCATCTAAGGTGGCATTTCAGAGACTGCACTGCTCCCTTACTTGGCTTGCCAAGAGCTTCTGCCTCAAGGAGTGCTCTCCAAGGCAAGCCCAGCCATGCCAGCATGGCCCCAGGCAGCTCTGAGAGGGAAGCAGAGAAGCAGCAGGATGTACCTGCTGTCCAAAGTCAACTCCAGATTAGACCAGTGAGAGGGAATAATTTCCCAGAAAGATATCCCACTGAGAGGGGAACAGGACATCTGTTATTTGTTAAAGCTGTCACCGGTGCTACATCATCTTGTGTCACCTGCCGTGACCCCAAGGAGCAGCAGCTTTGGCTGGTGGCCCTGTCCCATGGGACACATGTCCCCTCACTGTTCTGGGCTTGTGGAAAAGGTCTCTCTGGTGCTAATTAGCATCACCCCAATGTTCCCAAATTCCTCCCAAAGCACAGCTGCAGCAGGCTGGGAGGTGAGCCTGGAAGCAGTACAGCTGCAGGTGGGGTTTGTCTTATTTCCATATTTTAAACCAAGCTTTAGTACTGCTTTATTTCAGAAAGCTTAGATCTTTTGAAAAGAGGATTGTTTGTTTTTTGGTGGATTTTTTAGGCATTGTTGTCTGTGAGAAAGGGCGAGGCTGCATCCATTGCAGCTCCTCTTGTGGGCTTCCTGCGTGGTTTGTCTGGATGCAGGTATGTCCTTGCTCCAAGGCAGTTTCTTACTATGACTTTCCCAATCCGTGCTTTCCCTCCCATATCCATGAGCCTCCAAAGAGCCGGGCAAGGCTGAGCCAGAGCAGGCTGAGCAGGAGGCCCCTCTTTGTGAGGGGGCACAAAGCTCCCCAGCAGCTCAGGGGGAGTTCAGCTGCTCCAGCCTCGGAGGAGCCGCGTCCCCTGTGGCTTCCCCATGCGCCTGGAGCCGGGGGGGTTTAATGGCAGCAATTAGCCCCGCGGAAATCTGCATGCTTCGGGGGCATGTTTTCATGTTTTCTCGCTGTCCTGTGACGGTTCTGACGGGAAGCTGGAGGGCGGCCAGGAACAATTGCTTATGCTTGTCTGGCAGTGTGGGCTGGAGCAGCGGAGACAGCGCAGGTAAAAACGGGCGGCAGTCACCGTCCCCTCCGGAATGGTGTGGCCAGCAGGAGCAGCGAGGGCATTCTTCCATTCTTCCCCTGTACCTGGCACTGCTGAGGCCACACCTCAAGTGCTGTGTCCAGTTCTGGCCCCTCAGTTTGGGATGGACCTTGGGATGCTCGAGCACATCCAGAGGAGGCAACGAGGCTGGAGAGGGGCTGGGAACACAAGTGAGGAACCACTGAGACAACTGGGGGTGTTTAGGCTGGAGAAAAGGAGACTCAGGGGTGACCTTATCACTCTCTACACCTCCCTGAAAGGTGCCTGTGCTCAGGTGGGGTTGGGCTCTTTCTCCAGGCAGCACTGACAGAAACAGAGCACACAGCCTCAAGCTGCACCAAGGGAAATATAGGTTGGATATTAGGAAAAAGGTTTTTACAGAAAAAGTGATAAAGTTCTGGAATGGTGTGACCAGGAAGATGGCGGAGTCACCATCCCTGGATGTGTTTAAAAAAAGACTGGATGTGGCACTGGTTTAGTTGAGGTGTTGGGGCTGGGTTGCCCTCAATTTTGGAGCTCTCTTCCAACCCAGTCTATCTGTTCTTATCTGTTCTGCTCTCTGGCCTTGGCTCAGCCCAGCTCCCGCTTCCCTTGCTGCCTGTTTTCCGTGCTCCTGGATTTGCCTGTCCTTTCCCCCTGGACCCACTCTCCGAGCCCCCAAGCGCCTCCACCCGCGGTGGGGTGGGAGGGGGATGCTGGCCATTCTCCAGTGTCCCCTCTTCGTCTGTGGCAGCTCATCTACCCACCCCTCCTGCTGTTTCACAGACAATTACCCTGAAATTATTTCCTCTGCAAAAGCCAACCCAATGGTGCTTTTCCAGAGGCCTTTTTAGGACCAAGCGCATTCCCCCTGATTCCGGCTGAGCTCTGTGGGCTTTTCCCAGCGCGCAGCTGCGGAATATCCATCTGCCCTCCGTGACCCTGCTGCTTTCCCAGCAGGAAGCCTCCAAACAAAACCCGATTCACTCAGCAGCCCCGGGCTGCTTGTGATGCTGAGAGCTGCGTGTGAGGCGGGGAGGAGGCTGGCGCTCTCCATCGCCCGTGAGTGATGAGGGTGTGCCAAAAATCTCCACTTTTGTGGACACTTTTGTGTCCTTTCCCCATCCAGCTGGCAGCGAGCGCTCTGAAATCACACCTTGAAGCCTGGTGCTGCCCTGCCCTGCTCGGAAAAGCTCCCCGGGTGGATGGATGGCTGCCCGGGGCTCCGGTGCTGCGCTCCCCGCCGGCCGGCCCCGCGCTCCTCAATGCCGCCTCTGTTCTCCCTCTTGGGTCAAAAACGCGGCTTTTGTGAGCTCAGCCCAGCCCAGCCCTGCTCCGGAGCCCCAGCACGTTCCTCCCGGCCGGCAAGCTCAGCCCAGCTGTGGCCGGCTGCCGCCTCACTTCATTTATTTATTTTTGCTTTTGGCCAACAGCTCTAGCTGGGGAGAAGGGGACATGCGGCTGCTGGGACCCCTCAGGGCTCGCTGGCAAGCCACTCTCCACCAAAATGTTTCCCTTCTCCCTCAGGTGGCTGCCATTACCCAAAATATCTGGGGGAGAAAAAGAATGAGATACAAAGAGGGCTAAAAATAGGCATTTTAATTCATGAAATGTGAATTGGAGGGAGCAGCTTGGCGCTGGGTCAACATCTGCAAACGGCAAACACCCTGGAACTCCCTGAGCCTCTACCGGGTTTGGCCACCCATCAGTGCTGTTAGCACTTGTTTTTGGGGCTCCCCCGGGCAGGGGACACCCAGCAATATAGAGGAGACAGGAGATGCTTTGGACTGTGTGCTGGAGGCTTTGTTTTTGATCAGATAAGTCTGACCGTCTTTCAGCACCCCCTCAGAAGTTGGCAGTCGCTGCCACACGGGGGCTGGGAGGGTTACAGCCCGGCAGTCCCCAGGGGCTCTCCCGAGATCATATAGAAGGACAAGTGGTGGTCTCCAGCTAAAATGTGACCTCTGTTCTGGGTGTCTCCCTTGGTGGCGCCTTGTGCTGCTCTGATTTTTGGGCTTAGCTCCTTCACCAGCTTCCCCCTCCTTTTCACATTATAATAAATAAATAAATTCACCCGGTATGCAAATGCACAGGGCAAAAAGGAAATAAACCCAAACCTCCAAAACCAAGTTTGAAGAGCACCAAACCGTAGTCACCTCATTTTGTCGTAGCCCAAGCGCCATCCAGGGCTCTGTGGGCAGTTTCCAGTCTCTGCTGGTGAATGAAGGCACTAAACCAAGAAGGTCTCTGGGCGCTTGCTGACACCACAGGGATTTTGTCCTTGCCCCGTCCCAGCTGGCATGGGGGGGTGGCAAGGCAGAGGTGCTTGGTCCTGTCCCCCTCTGCCTGCCATCACCCTCCTCCTCCTCCTCAGTGCAGCTCCCGAGCTGGGCAGGTGGCCCTGCTGCCGACCCCACCTCCCATCTCCCTCACCATTTCCCCATTCCCGGAGAAACTGAGCAATTCAGGCTCTGCAGGACCCTGGGGCCAGCTCTGCCAAGACGCTCCGTCTCCTGGGGCTGCCACCTGGAGCGTTTTCGGGAGCAGGGACCCCCAGGTCGTCTCCGGACCGGCCGGGAGCACGGCCGCAGCCCCTCGTTCCGCCCCGCCACTGTGCCCCTGTCCTGCTACGTGACCCACGCGGGCTGTGCCTCCTCCAGCAGGCTGAAGGAGCGGTTGGCCAGCGCCGCGGGGCTGCTGGCCAGCTTGTAGCCAAAGAGCCGCATGGCCGGGCCGCAGGCGTCCTGCACCACCTGCGCCAGCTTGAAGGGCATGCCGAAGCGCCACTTGTCGAACTGCTCCGAGGAGTTCTTGCACGTGGAGTAGACGCCGTTGCCGTCGGGGGGAGCCTGCGTGTTCTTGCCGATCCACTCCTCCACCTGGCGGGTGAGGGGCAGCCCGGCGAAGCGGAACATCTCCCGCGCCTTCTGCAGCGGCGCCCGCGCCACGTCCTCGTAGCGCACCAGCATGTAGCGGCCCCGCAGCCAGCGCGGCCGCCGCAGCCCCAGCTCCGCCGACACGCGGATGCTCTCGCAGTTGCCCCGCAGCCGCTGCACCTCCTCCTCGCGCAGCGGGGCCTCCCCTTCGGACGCCCACTTCTTCCAGGTCTCGTACTTGCCCGAGAAGGCCACCATGCGCGAGGCCAGGACGGCGCGGGGGTCGCGCACCAGCTGGATGATGCGCAGGTCCAGCCGGGGGTCCTCCACCAGCGGCTGCAGGAACTCCAGCTGCCGGATGCGCACCGTCTTCAGCGCCACGTGCTGCTTGCGCCGGCATGCCTCGGCCGCCAGCGTGATGTTGAGGGGGCCGCAGCGGCGGTTCTTGCAGTAGTACTTCTCAAAGACCTTCTTGGTGCTGGGCGTGCAGACGGGCTCCTCGCACAGCGAGTGGCTGGAGCCCCGCCGAAACAAGAAGGGCGTCAGGTGGCCCTCGGGAACCGGGGAGATGAAGTTCTCTAGGATGTAGAGGTCGCAGAGGAGGAGCTGCTTGAGGACGTCTCGGTAAACCAAGGCCGAGCCCACCGCGCTGGCTCCCCCCGGCAGGAAGTTCACCGTCTTCTCGACGTGCCAGAGCGGCTCAAAGAGGTAGAAGATGCTGCCCTGCTGGTTGAAGAACTCGCCAACGAAGGAGGAGCCAGTGCGGGTGGTGGCCATCAGCAGGACGTGCCGCCGTGGGCCGGTGTCCCCGGGGTCACCTGCCAGCTGCAGGGTGATGTTGTACAGGTGGGACCTCAGCTGGGAGAAGGCAGCGTCCAGCTCCTGCAGCGAGGCCAGCGAGCCGTTCTTGGCCGCTGCTGGGCTGAGCTCCGTGCTGTTGGCCTCTGCCAGAGCCTGCGGGGACTGCTTCAGCCTGTCCGACACCCTGTGGGGAGAGCCAGCCCAGCCTGGAGGACAGCAGCACCACCCTGCTTCCCCCGGGAGGACTTGGGGGGCTCCTCTGCATGGGAGCTCAGGACTGGGGGAGAGGGGCTGCACACCTTGGCGTGGCTCAGATGCCCACTGCCTACCTGGAGATGAAGTTGTTCTCCTTCTCGATGATGACGAGGCTGACGACGAAGACCAGCAGGACGGCGTACTTGCTCTTCATCTTCAAGCAGTGCAGCAGCTCCCGGACATCCTGGGGCAAAGCGCGTCGGATCTCCATGGGGAGCACACACAGCTCCCTCCTGCACGCCAGGAAGGTGTCCTGGGCCAGCCCTGCCTGTGGGGAGAAGAAGGCTCAGCATGGCGAGGGTCAGAGGCTGACAAAGGCTGGACAAGAGCAGTAAAAAAGTGGAAGCTCCTCCCTGCTGCTCCACCCCACCCCCGGATGAGGAGCAGCTGCCTGAATGCCCCATCGGCTGCTCCTCCTCCTTCCCAAAATATATCTGCCCGACAGGATCCCTTCCAACACTCCCACCAGCTCCCTCTGCCCACCCTGAAACCCAATCCCTGCCACCCGACAGCTGCCCGCTTCCCGCTGGCAAAAACCTGCTGCTGCCAGCGAGGGAGCCCCTGGATCATCCGGATCTTCCACAGATTGTGGCTCCCGACCTCTGGAAAGGGGAGGCCTGGAGGCTCCACTGCAGGGCCCCAGCGTGGGGCTGAGCAGCTTCCGCCTCCCCCCAGCATGGCAGCAGCAGCTGCTGAGCCTCGAAAATGAAACCCAGAGAGTTTTCAGGAACGACGGCGAGCCGGAAAATGCTGCTGCTGCCAGTCCCCCTCGGGGAGTAGAATGCTCCAGGGGAGGCTTTTGCCAAAAAAGGGAAGAAGAAAAAAAAAACCCAAATGATGGTGCAGCTGCTTGGTGTGGGATGCAAAGCCAGGAGACTTGGCAGAAAAGTCCCGCCCCCCCAGCGTCTCCTTCAGCGCCCAAATCGGGGCGTTGCTGGAAATGCTCTGAGTGGCACCAAACCCACCCCCCAGCTGGAGATTTGGGGTCACAGCCGCAGTTTAGAGCTCTGGGGCAGGTCCCCAGTGTGCAGATTTGCACCCCTAGGCCTTGCTGGCACCTGCCACCTGCCCGGGGTGATGCTGTTTGCCCGTCCCGCTTTCTTGGCCAGACTTTCGGTGACTCAGGGAAAGTCTATTTAGCCTTGGCTGGGCTCCACAGGGGGCAGCCCGTCCCAGCCCTGCTTTTGGTGTGAAGGAGGGGAGCCAGGCAGAGCCCCATCCTTTGGGGGGACCCAGGGTTTGCTGGAGGGGAGATGCCCTGGCCAAGCCTCGGCATCTGCAGCTCCATCAGAGCGTGGAGCAGGGAAGCCCTGCCAGGCGTTGTGTCACGTCGCAGCCTCTTCCGCATCGTGCTTGGCCAAAATGTGCATTTTTTAGTCCAAAATGTGCATTTCTTAGGCCAAAATGTGCATTTTTTAGCGTTGCTCGCTGAATGCCCCTCCTGGGAAGGAAGGACCATGGGCAGGAGGGGTGGGATGTGTCCGTGGCCAGGGCAGCACCCAGCCTGTCAGATTCCCAGTTCTCTCTGTGTGAGGACCAGGAATTTCCCAGCTTGAGCAAAGCACTCAGCTCCCGGGGCTTGGCTTCCAGCCATCTCCTTTCCAGCAAAACCTTCTAAAAAGAGACATCCACACCCACGCACCCAGGAAACTCAGGATTTAGTGGGATGCAGGGACTCTGGAGAGCCCTGGCAGCCCCAGAGCCCTCCCACAGTGGTCCCCCCTTTCAGCAAGCAGCACCGAGATCCCCGACACACGTGCGTGCGTGCGTGCGTGTGTGTGCTCGTGTGTGTGTGTGTGCTTTTAACAGCCCTGTTAGTTTAGTTTGTCATCACACCGCTCCTCGGGGACAGGCCAGGAGCTGGGGCAGGTGCCTTTCAGCAGCCACCCCTCATATCCCCCCTCCTTGGTCGTGCCCCCTCGATGACAGCATTTGTCAGAGTGTTTGTGCAACCGAGAGAAAAAAATCAAGTACACAAAGTCCTGGGCGTGCGGTGGCATCCCAGGGGGCGGTGATCTGCATCGCTGCCCTGGCCTGGGGCTGGGAACAGTCCCCTTGCACAGGGGATGCCATCAGCCGCTTCCTCGCACAAATCCCCAGGCAAAGCCAGCCCCGCGTTCTCACCCTGTAATGCCCCCAGCTGCCTGACCACAAATGAGCTCCAGAGCAGGAATTATTCACAGCGGTGACACAGAGATCCGTGTCCGGCAACGCTGGCACAACCCTCATTCACAGCCCCGGGGCAGACACCATTCATTAAACAAACAACCGGCTGCAAATCCCTCCTGGGACCCGCGGGGCCGTCAGGGCTGAGCTCAGGGGCTGGGGACACGAGGGTGACCTGGGGAGGCTGCCTGGCTCAGCCTGAAGCTCAGCCTAAAGCTCTTCCTCGCTGGGGCTCTGGGCCAGCCACAAGTGCCCCTTTGTGAGGGGAACAGAGGGGCTCTGTGTCCCTGCACGCTCCCCTCCAGGGCCCTGCTGCGATGGGATGGATCAGGAGAACCACTGGGATGCTGCTGCTGCCGCCCCAGGGTGCCCTGCCAGTGTCTGCCCCTGGAAATGCACCTGTGTGAGCAGACGAACAGATGGACATCACCCCTGGAGCCGTCTTGCTCTCCACGTCCCAAAGCAAAGCAGGATAATTTCCAGGAATGCTAAACTGAGATGCTGGGGAAGGCAGCACCCACAGCTCAGATGCTGCTCCCCTCAGGCTGGAAGTGCTTTTCAGTTCAGCAGGGATGGCTGTGATTCCCATTGCAGAGATTTATGGATTTCCCAGAAAAGGAGGTGTTTTTTTTGGGCGATGTTGGGGATTTTGTTGCCATGCAAATCTGCCCAGGTGGGATCCATCACTACCAGCAAGTTAACTTAACCTTGCCACAGCAAGAGGGATGGGCTTGGACAGTAATGGAGACACCAAACCATTCCAGTCCACTGGAGCACGTTGGTGTGTGGGATGGATGCTCCCACTGGTGGTGCAGGTGGGGTGAGAGGAGCAGAGACCCTGTGGGAGGAAGGAGGGAAGGGATGCTCTGTCACCCTCCTGCAGGGCATTCCATGGGACTCTGACTGGCAGAGCAGAGCAGGGGCTTTTCAGCTCTGTTTTGGGAAAGGGAAGGATTTACACAAAGCCTTGGGGCTCTCCTTCCCCATCTCTGGCTGCCCTGAGCCCCCACCAGGTGAGATCCAGGAAGGAAAGATGCCTGTGGCTGCCAGGGACAGCCAGCTGGGGGTGAGACTGGATGGAGTCACATTTTCCTCTGGTGACTCAACAGGCAACAACTGAGCTCTGGGCACAGACAGGCAATGAAACACCCACGTGCAAGAGTTCCTGAGATCCTTCTGACCCTCCTGCCCCCATCCACTCCCATCCATCCCTCTGTGGAAGCCCACAGTGACCTGCAGCTGAGCTCGCTGCCCCTGGAGCTGCTGCTGCTGCTCTGAGTAATTCCCTCCACAGTCCTTTGCTTCATCAGACTCCATCAGACACTGGATCAGCAAAACACAGGGGTGGAACAACAAAGAGATAAGGAGCACAGGCTTATCTGCTCTCCGTGCTGCTCTTTGTCTGCAACCTGGGAAAAAAAACCTCTCTGTATTTACTCTTTCAACTATTTCCGCTCCCAGCTTCCTCCCCAGGCTGGCCTTGGGAAACGTGCCACCAGAGCTTCCCACTTTGCTTTCATCTCCCAGCAATTTTCATCCTGGTCCTGGCTGTTCTCCAAGGCATGGCACGAGCACAGCGCTGCTTCGGTTTGCCCTGCAGCACAGCTAAGGAGCCTGTCCAGGCAGGTATTCTTGGGTTAAAAACATGCCTAGTCAAGCTAAAAAAAAAGAGGGGAAAAAAGTCATCTCCTACAATGTTTATAAAGTTGCTGAGAATAGTCACAATCCTCATCAAACTGAAGCCTGGAAACTGCCCATTGGAGGAGAAAGTTGGGAATGGAAAGTCGTTCTGACTCAGAGGTTACACTCAGGAGCAGCAGCAGGAGTGGGGTTGGTACAAACAGGCACCACTGGAACAACTTTGTTTTCGTTGCCCGAGCTCTCAAACTCCAGTGCATGAGGTCCTGTCCACTCTTCCCTGTCCCACCTGCTCTCTGATGACCCACATGAGCTGTGCTCGTGTCCCACTGTGCAGAAGGGGTGCACAGGGCACAGTGACGATGGTGACAGCACCAGCTCAGGCTCCATGGCCAGGACAGACTGCCCTTTTCTCTCCCTCACCTTGGTGGTGTCCAAAGACACACCAAGAGTTTTCTCCTGACCCAGCAGAGAGGAGAGCTGCTGCTCCTGGCCCTGCTGAGCCCCTTGGGGCTCACAGACATCAGTGCTGGGCGTGGGGATAAAACACTGCATCTGCCAGGCAGGGAGCAGCCTCTGGAGCTGCATCTGGACCAGGACCCAGCTAAAACCCCTCCAGCCTTGAATCCAACCCACAGCCGGGGTGAGGTTTGCAGCACCACCTGCAGCAAAGGTGAGCAGCTGAAGGCGCCGAAGTGCAGGGCAGCGAGGGGGGCTGCAGAGCAGAGCAGACCACCAGGAGGGTGAGAGGGAGGAGGTTCGCTCGGCGCCGGGGGCACAATGCCGGCTGCTGTGCGTGCCGGCGGCCCCCGGCCACGCCGGGAACCGCAGATGCCCGAGCCTGTTCAATGAGCCCTTTCTTTGGGGCGCGGAGCCCACGGTCCCTCCCACCGCCCCACACTCCTTCCCTTGCTGCTCCACGGAAGCTCCTCGGTCAGACCCACCCCAAGAGCAGGGATACGGCGCTCGCTGTGCCGGCTCTGCTCCCCTGCCAGCCCCGGCCAGGCGCCTGCAGCGCTCCAGGGATGCAGAAGGGACTGGTGGCAGGAGATGCTGGCGAGGGGACAGTGACCTGTGCTCGAGTCAGCACGGGGAGACTGGGGCTGTGGAATCGAGCTGAAGCAACATGGCAGATGTGGAAAAATCGCAGAGTTAAATGCCTGTCCTGGTGTAGGGCTGTAAATCGTTGGCTGTGGAAAAGGAGACGCTTTGCTCCAGGCAGCAAGGCAGGCTCGGCGCAGAGGCAGCGGGGCGTGGGCAGCTGTGCCCAGGGCGGCGGGGAGCAGCTGCTGAGACCCCGGCAGGCATGAGGGGGGACTCTGCCTTTCCCCAGGGTACCCCGTGCCATCCAGGGCCCGTGTCACAGTCCTATTCCCGCAGAAATGTCCCTGGCTCCCGAGTGCCGAACCAGGGCCAGCGTGCCCCTGTGGCTCCGGGACAGGAGGGGAAAGGGTGAGAACAACTTTCCAGTGCTCCCTGCTCGGGGCTGACAGGACGGATGATGCAACTCCCGGATGGTTGTGAGAGAGAAACTCTCCTTTCCCAAAGTCTCCTTCTGCCGAGCTCCGGACGGAGGCTCGGCGCTGCAGTGGATCCCATTCCATTGATTTATTTTTTCCCCGAAAGAAAGGCACGGGGATTGCTGCTGAGCAGTCATGTGCCGGGAGGACTGTGGGCAGCGGGGAGCTGCCATGGGGCTGGGATGAGGGGAGGAAGGGAGGCTCGGCCGGAGCTGCCCCGCTGCGGGAGCGGCCCGCG